GATCTTACAGTACGTGGGATTGAGCCCCACATCAGTCTCCATACTGATACTCCATACTCTCTCTCTCTCTCTCTCTCTCTCTCTCTCTCTCTCAAAATAAGTAAATGAACTTTAAAAAAAAGAATGTAAAGAAAAACGTGAACAGAATGAAGACGGTGGAAAATTCAAGAAGCTCAACCCTAGCAGAATAACATAAATCATACAATGACATCATAATCAAATTACTTAATAGCAATGATAAATTCTTAAAAGCAGCCAAAAAAAAAAAAAAAAACCCACATTACATATAAAACAGGTCAGCAAACTGTATACAACCCTCAAGCCAAATCTGTCCTGCCTCCAGTTTTCTCATAAAGTTTTATTGGAACACTGCTACACCTACTTGTTTACCTATTGTCTGTGGCTGTTTTCACACTAAAAAGGCAGAGTTGAGTAGTTTTGACAGAGACTATTATGGTCAGAATGCCAAAAATATTTACTAGAACATACTATTTTTAAAAAATAGTGACTCCTGATTAAAAAAAAAAGTCATAAGAAAATATGCAAGCTAGAAGGTAATGGGATGACTCAGATCTAAAAAATGCAGAAGGAAAAAAAAATTGTGAACCGGTAAATATTCACTGTATCAGTGAAAATGTCATTCAAAATGAAGGTGAAATAGATATTTGTAGACAACAGCAAGAATTTTTCCTTGAATATTTACACCCCATGATAATGTGAAAAAAAGAAAATCTTCAGGCTTAAGAATACCAGATGGAACCTTGGATCTACATAAATGAATGACGAGTCCTGGGAATAGATTTGGCACCATTGACTCAATTTACAGACTATCGAGGAAAGGAGGAACAGCTTTGGAATAGCTCAAGGCTCACTCTGTGCCCATGAGCAGCAATTTGGGTCTTCTGCTGCATCTACCATGCATCTAGCACACACCATAGAGACAAGAGACTCCCTGCCAGGAAAAGAAGTTTAAACATGGACTAAAACAGAATTCAGCAAACTATACGCTGTGAGAGCCACCCACTTATTTGAAAATCCAAAATAATATAAGAATGTTACATATAGCTTACATAGAAACTTTTAGAATTAATAAGTTTAAGTTCCCTGAATATAAAGCCAATATATAAAATTCAAGTGTATATCTATACAACAGGAACAAGTATTAGAAAGTACAATTTAACAACGGTATTATATACAATAATATAAAAAAAATTTTTTTTAAACCTAACGATACATGTATAAGACCTCCACACAAAATACTATGAAACATTTAGGAAATTAAGCAGACCCAAATAAATTATGGCTTAGAAAGCTCAATATTATAAAAATCTAATTTTTCTCAAACTAATCTATAGAATCAATGCATTCCCAATCTTGGGATTCTTTTTTTTTTTTTTTTCTTTTTTCTTTTGTATTAATTGAGAAGCTGGTCCTAAAATAGAAATGGAAAATTTATAAAAATTAGCCAAGATTCTTGAAAATCAAGAACAAGTTAGGATGACCTTCTTTACAGGATAATAAGTCATTATAAAGCTAAAATAAAGACAAAGTGGGCTTATTATTCTGTTCAGGAGAAAGAATTGAGAAATAGACCCATACTTACACGCACATAAGATTTATAACAAAAGTAAGATGACATACATCCCGGTTTGCCTGAGACTGAGGCTGTCTCAGAATTTCAGAGCTAAAATTAGGAAAATTTGGAATGAGTTGGTCACCCTAGACAACGGTAGTGCTTTAGAGTGGTAGGGAAAACTTTACAATAAATTATAGTGGGGCTATTGGATAATCAGGTAAAATGAAAGAAATTTAGCCTTTACCTCATACTATATACAAAAATATACTTCAGGTATATTGTAAATCTAGAAGGCAGAAAAGATAACACTTCTAAAAGATTACTTAGAATATCTTCAAAACCTAGGAATATAGAAAGATTTAAATAGGACCCAAAAAGTCTTTGTCATGAAGGAAAACAGTGATAAATGGATAACAAAATAAAAACTTATGTTCATTAAAGACACCATTAAGAATGAAAAAAAAAATGAGCCTGGTTGGCTCAGTTAAGCATCCAATTCTTGATTTTGGCTCAAGTCATGATCTCACAGTTCATGAGATCGAGCCCTGAGTCAGGCTCTACCCTGACAGTGTGGAGCCTGCTTGGGATTCTCTCCCTCCCCCTGCTGGCATGAGTTCTCTCTCTCTCTCTCTCTCTCTCTCTCTCTCTCTCTCGCTTTCTCTCTCAAAATAAATAAACTTTAAAAAAAAATAGAAAAGAATGCCATGGAATGGAAGATATTTGCAACTCATAAGTGAATATATAAATAACTGCTGCAAATCAATTTAAAAAAACAGGCAATTAATAAAAAAATGAGAAAAAGACTTCAGCAGGCAGTTCAAAAGAATGAATTTCTAATACAAAAAGGTGCTGAACTTATTAATCATCAAGAAATGTAAATAAAAGCACAACAGTAATCCTTTAAATGTTCACAGAATAAACCTAAAAAGGTTGATAAATCCAGAATGGCTATAATTAACAACACAAGAATCAACTGGTGTTGGCAAAGATGCAGAGAAAGGAGAACCCTCTTGTGCTGTTGGTGGGAATGCAAACTGGTGCAGCCACTCTGGAAAACAGTATGGAGGTTCCTCAAGTAACCAAAGATGGAGCTACCCTACGACACACACACACAATGGAATATTAGCCAGCAAAAATAATGAAATCTTGCCATTTGCCATGACGTGGATGGAGCTAGAATATTTTATGCTAAGTGAAATAAATCAGAAAAAAACAAATACCATATGATTTCACTATAATATGTGAAATTTAAGAAACAAAACAGATAACATATGGGAAGTGGGGGTGGTGGAGGAAGAGAAGAGAAGGAAACAAACCACAAGAGACTCTTAATGATAGAGAACAAACTATGGTATGGAGGGAGATGTGTGAGAGATGGTGATGGGTGCTAAGGAGGGCACTTGTGATGAGCACTAGGTGTTATACATAAGTGATGAATCACTGAATTCTACTCCTGAAACCAATATTGCATTGCATATTAACTAAGTAAAGTTTAAATTAAAAAATTAAATTAAAAAAAAATTTTAAACATGAAAAAAGCCCCACAAAAAAACTAATAAAAGGAAATTTGGGGGATATCATGTAAAAAAATAAATAAATAAAGATTGTCAAATCAGGGATGCCTCAGTGTGTCAGTCAGTTAAGCATCCGACTTCAACTCAGGTCATGATCTCACTATTCATGGATTAGAGCCCTGCGCCAGGCTCTCTGCTGTTGGCACAGAGCCCGCTTCAGATCCTCTTTCCCCCTCTCTCTCTGCCCCTCCTCCGCTCTTGCTGTCTCAAAAATAATCATTGAAAAAAAAGATTGACAAATCAAACATTGATGAGGATGTAGAATGTAAGCTCTCATATGCTATTTACAGGAATGTAAACTGATAAAAAACTACTTTGTAAACTGTTTGGCATTATCTTCCAAAACTGGGCATATGCATACTCTACTAGCCAGTAACTCACTTCTAGGAACAGATTGTACAGAAATGTGTGTACAAGGGGCGCCTGGGTGGCTGGTTGAGTGTCCAACTTCAGCTCAGGTCATGATCTCATGGGTCAACAGTTAGAGCCCTACATCGGGCTCTGTGCTGAGCTTGAAGTGTGGAGCCTGCTTCAGATTCTGTGTCTTCCTCTCTCTTTCTGCCTGTCCCCCGCTCACGCTCTGTCTCTATCTGTCTCTCTCTCTCAAAAAATAAACACTAAATTTTTTTTAAATAGAAATGTCTGCACAAAACAAAATTTTAAATGTTCTAAGTAGTATTATTCATAATAGCCTAAAACTTGAAATATCCAAAGGCTGTATGAAGAGTAGAATAGGTAAATCATGGTATATTCATATGTTAAATTCCTGCACAGCAGTGAAAATGAATGAAGTCCAGATATACATCATAATATGGATGAATTCCATAAGCATAATATTGAAGAAAATAAACCAGACATAATGGAATGCATAATCTTACAATTCCATTTATATAAAACAGGTCATTTGTGGGTGTGAGAAGTAAGGATATTACTTTTGGAGAAAAGGAAGAGGGAAGTGATCAAAAAGGATCATGGAAGGGAAGGAACTTCTGCAGTGTGATTTTATCTGGTTGTTCATTTACCAGTTGTGTTCATTTTATGATATAACATATCAAACTGTATACTTATAATTTTGTACTTTTCTGTATGCCTTTTATACCTCAAGAAAAGCTTGAAAATTTAATTATATTTGGAAGTTCTTTTGAGACTGGCCTAGCAGGGTAGAGTATAAGACCAGAGGCCAAGGGACCCTGGATGGCTCAGTTGGTTAAATGCCGACTTTGGCTCAGGTCATTATCTCAGGTTCATGAGTTTAAGCCCCACATATGGGGCTCTCTGCTGTCAGCACAGAGCCCTCTTTGGATCCTCTGTCTTCCTCTTTCTCTGCCTCTCTCCCTGTCCCCCTCACTCTCATACACTCTATCTCTCTCTCAAAAAAAACTAAACATTAAAAAAAAAAAAAACGCTAGAGGCCAGAAAGCAGTTAAGAAACTATTGCAAGAACCCCAATGATAAATGATGGGTTCGAACTAAGAGGAGAGTTGCAGAAAATTGGAGAGGATGAAAATGAATTGTTTACATATATTTAAATTGAGTATTTTTAAATTTAAATTAAATTAAAATGTCAGTTTTTCAGGTGCATTAGCCATATTTTAAGTGATGGTGGCCCCATGTGGTCATGGCTACCATAATGGACATGACTTAATGGTGGTAAACTACAGTTTGTAATTTTATGCCTCATTCCCAACCTGAATACCCATTATCTGGGTATCCTTTTAAAAAATTAAATACATATCTATTCTCTAATTATGAAATAAATCAAAATACTTAAGAAAATAACTCTGGGTACCCATCTTCCTGGAAATTTCAGGCTCAATCCTACTTAGAGAATGGACCATATATGACTTCTAAAAGAGGAACTTATAACAATATTAATGACTTCCCAAGTATTAATGCTACAAAGCAATAGACTTATTATATGCTGCTTCTGTTGACCACTTATTAACCATTCTGCACATGGCTACAAGAAAGGAAATAGCTCATAATGCTTGCTTGCCCTATTAGAACATCTTGTCCTCTTTTTAAGTTTATTTTTATTTCTTTGGGTTTGGAGTTATACTCTCTCCTCCACTTGCTAGCGCTGATCCTAGTTTCTTTAAGCAGACAAAAACAGAAGTGAATATTTTTCAGGATATCTGCTTTGTGATATCAAAATCACAGCATGACAGTAGAGAGCACTGCCACCATTCAACTTCTCTAGAATGGTCTATAGTTGACCAAGTCCAAAGCACATGATTGATTACAAATACTACTCATGCTATATTTTGACAGCTTATATTTCCAGAGAACTTCATTTTCAGGTGTGAAAGACAGGTTTGACCTTCATTTGGTTCTGTCAGGAGCAGTTTGTTTTCAAACACTATCCAGAGTTAATGAGGAAAATATTGAAATTGAGTTTCAAAACATGGAAAAGTAATTTACTATGGTAATTTTTGGTACACCTCTGTATATCTCTGTTGAATTATTTCTTGCTTTGGATAATGTCCACTCTCTTGATGTTCAGTAATAACAGAAGCAACAGCATAATCAAACTAGCCAACGGCCAGAGACAAGTTTATTATTTTCCTCACCCATAGCTAAAATGAGTACAAAACTAAAAGTGAAATAATAATAATGATAATAATACAAAACTTGCCTTTCAGTCACCACTGGCCTCCCCTAAATCCTGCCAAAATAGTAATAAAGAAAACATTCCTAGCTAAACTAAGAATCTTGCTTTGGGAAATGATTGCCATTTTGTCTATTTTGTCTTCAGCAAGGACACTGGCTACCAACATAAACAGGTCAGCAATTGTCTGACACAGTTACAGAATAGTCACTATCCCTTGTTGGAACATCATAGTTAAACACTTGTAAGTATATAAAGTATGTATGGGCTAAGTTTGTATTAGATACTAGAGACAAAATAAGAGATTGGCTGCCATTTGGCAAATTATCTTCCCAGATCTATCACTGACTCAAGATAAGTGCCTTAAACAATCCGTATCTCCATTTTCTAGGCAACCCAGTGTCGATTAACAACACCTAGTATATTGGAGGCTTGGTTTTGAGAAAGAACAATGAAAGAGTTAACAGTGTTTTTTATAAAGAGGATCTCAATAAAAAGACACATGAGCACAATTGACAAGACTTCAGTGATAGTCCCAAAATCTCACAGTCATTGGTGACTTTCCTGACTCTCTCCATAGGAACTGAACGGAGCTGCTAGCAAGGAGTTGCATGACTAACCTAAATGCACTTGAGCTTTGCTCTAACCTTCATTTCCTGTCTCCTCCTAGCCATCTTAAAGAGAGATTTTAATTAAGAAGTAAAGTATCCCAAAAATAGGCCACAGAAAAATGGAAAAATTAAGGGTCTGAATCATCTATAGATCCAATAATCAAGCACTTAGAAGAGTGAGTTGGTTTTCTTCATCACTAGGAAAATTTGTTAACAAATGAGAGTATTTTTATGGTTGTCAAATAACTTTAAACATCAATCATTAATGTATTGAGCTATTTGTAAACATTCTCTGGTACACCATTTTTAGGGGGAATTTGTTTTTAATTTTCATATTTCAAGTAAATTGAGTAATGTGATTTTTTTTGCCATTATAGGTTTTAAAAATACATATTTAACACCATCCCCATTAAAGTGTTGAGTACATGAAGACAGTCAGTCGTTAGCTCTGTTTATTTGAAAACATGACTGTCTGAACTAGATTGAATTCCCTCTGAAGGAATGCCTTCTTCATCTTTGCATCCCAATGTCTATGATTGTATCTGACATTTTGTGGGTTTTTCAAAACCAAAGAAAAATACAAATGTGAGGCAAACATTTTTTCAGAATTATTTTTCTGAGCTGGCTATGCAAATGATAGTCCAGAAATAAAAACAAGCCCTAAAAAATCACAGAGTGGGAAAAGTTAAAGACTATTCAATAATTATATTTAATTATCTACCATTTGTGATATGTAATTATATTTTCTGCAAATATATTTATATCTCAAGAAATACACAATAGACTATTAGTATTTTTTATAAATATTCTTTTTTAAAATATTTATTTATTTATTTATTTATTTATTTATTTATTTTGAGAGAGAGGGAGAGAGAGAGGATCTCAAGCAGGCTCCACACTGTCAGTGCAGAGCCCAACACAAGGCTCAAACCCACAAATCATGAGATTATAATCTGAACTGAAATCAAGAGTAAGATGATTAACTACTCAGTAGGATGATTGAGCCACCCAGGCACCCCTTAACTGTTAGTATTAATGCTTCCAGAGAGAGAACTGGGGGACTAGAGATAAAAGGGCTCAGGTCATGACCTCACGGTTTGTGAGTTTGAGCCCCGCATTGGGCTTTGTGCTGACAGCTCAGCCTAGAGCCTGCTTCAGATTCTGTGTCTCCCTCTCTCTCTTCCCCTCCCCTGCTTGAACTCTCTCTCTCTCTCTCTCACACACAAAAATAAATAAACATTAAAAAAAATTTTTAAATAAAAATAAAATAAAAATCATCATTTACCTAACTAGACAAAAAGCCTAAATAAGTTCTGATCATTGGTGTAAATGTTTTCCATCAATAGTGCCTCTCCATTCTATGACTTTTTTGGTTAGACTTCTTTAAACATTTATATTTAGGGAGATCTTCTAAATCTGCTATAGAGATGATTCTCTTCTGTTAGCCTTATGCTGTAGGAAAAACTAATAAGGTAGTGACTATAATAGCCTAGGCATAATTGGCAAAGACAGAATTAGGCTGGTGGCAGAAGGGGAAAAAAAAAGATGAATGAAGGAAGCAAATGTGGAGGCCAGTTTTAAAATCAGCCCCAAGAACCTCTGAATACTGATCTCCTCAAAGCCTTCATCATTCTCTTGTGGTCTGAAAGAGTACATTATCTGGAGGGGTTTGAAATTCACAGAAGAGGACACAAATATCCAAATCTGGCTAACGACCTCAATTGTGTGAAGAAAACTTCACTCACAAAACTTGTAAATGTACCATTCAGGGAGAATTTTTATGTCTCCTGCTGCCCTGTATACAACTTATTTTTTAGACTGGAAAATTTCAAAGACATAAAAAGTTGTATAAATGAGCCTCCATATACTTATCACCACTTTCCCTCTCCTAGGATTATTTTGAAGCAATGCTAGGCATAATTTTGTCTTTAAATATTTCCATTTGTATCACTAAGGCCTAAGAACTCTTTTTAAAATAAAATTTAGGGGCGCCTGGGTGGCGCAGTCGGTTAAGCGTCCGACTTCAGCCAGGTCACAATCTCGCGGTCCATGAGTTCGAGCCCCGCGTCAGGCTCTGGGCTGACGGCTCAGAGCCTGGAGCCTGTTTCTGATTCTGTGTCTCCCTCTCTCTCTGCCCCTCCCCCGTTCATACTCTGTCTCTCTCTGTCCCAAAAATAAATAAAAACGTTAAAAAAATAAAATAAAATAAAATAAAATTTAACTAATAAAATTTTCATATCTAAAAAATTAATAATTGCTTGTTAACATCATGAAATTTCCAGTCAGTATCATTTCCCCTAGTGTCTTAGAATGTTTTGTTATATATTACTTAGAAATGTTTTTTCTTAGAATGTTTGTTTTTGTTTGAATCAGAATCTAAATATAATCTATACATTGCAATGGACATAGATACGCCCTCTCAGACTTAAGTTTATGGGTTTCCCTCTCCATCCTTCTGCCTTTTAATTTCCTTGCAAACTTTTTGTTGTCATTGAATAAACTAGTTTCCCTGTTTTATAGTTTGTTATAGAGAGAATCCCTCTGGGATTACAATCAAATTACTATTACAAAAAGTCATTTAGAATAGTTACTTACTGTATGATTGTGCCTCTAACTTGATTCAGAGTTAGATTCATTTGTCTTTTTCTTAATTTCTATTTTTGTGAATTAAAAACATTTATTTTATACTTATGTAAAACATATACATGATTCCAAAAGCAAAACTATAAAACAAGGTGTATTCAAAGAAGATCAACTTCTACCATTTTCCCCATTCTAGGGTCTTCCCTAATAGTGACCCATTTTGTTTCATTTTATAGTTTATCTTCCTGGTTTTTTAAAGCAATTACTATATTATTAAAGATACATATATTAAAGTATTAATATATTAAAGATATAGATATTATTATTCACATATTATATTAAAGATAGATATATATATTAAAGATAGGTACATAGATGATAGATGATTGACTGATGATTGACTTAGATAAATAATAGCACACTATCCATGATTTTATCCACCTTACTTTTTAAAAAAGCATATCCTAGAGATCACTCCACAATAGTACAGAGAGACAGTGTTCCCTCCCTTTTGGAGCCAGAATCATCCTATTGTGTGAATAGACAATGGTTCATTAGACTAGTCCTCATCTGTGAACATTGGGTTGTTCGCCTGTTACCCTTTTTTTTTTTTAATTTTTTTTTTCAACGTTTATTTATTTTTGGGACAGAGAGAGACAGAGCATGAACGGGGGAGGGGCAGAGAGAGAGGAAGACACAGAATCGGAAACAGGCTCCAGGCTCTGAGCCATCAGCCCAGAGCCTGACGCGGGGCTCGAACTCACAGCTGCGAGATCGTGACCTGGCTGAAGTCGGACGCTTAACCGACTGCGCCACCCAGGCGCCCCTATTACCCTCTTTTTGAAGTGTTAACTCCTTGTGCTTATACGGACGGACTGCAGAGGGTTCAGGGCCCTGTTGCCTTATCATGAAGACCAGCCTACAGTTCCTTTGAGTTCTGTCATTCCTCCCTAGATGTCCTCCATTTCTGAGCTTTCTCCTTCCTCTGTTATGGGGAGGTTTTCACTCCCTCTCTTTTCTCCTACCCTTTCCTATCCTCCTGCATCATGTTCACTCCACTTAATGGAGGGGGGTGGGCAACTGTACTCTGCAACATTCTCAAGGATTTCATGGTTTCTTCTCCTTTGTCTCTTGGTGGAAGGTTGAAGGAGGTCTTTCTTTTCCTTCAGAAACCTTGCTATTTTGATAAAGTAAGTGGGTTGCAGGCAGCGTCACCGGAAAGAAAACCTCCTCAAAAATGAAATCCTCAAGTCCAGCACTTCCTGGTTTCTGAGAACATAAATTATTAAGTATTCTCGTGTCAAACATTTCTAGCCACAGCTGCCCAACACCATGTGCAGCGCAATCCTCGCTTGTGATGCTGGGCAGGGACAGCGGGCCACAGCTCCCAATCAGCCACGTGATCAAGGGAGTGAATAACCGGTACATTCACAACCATTCTGCACGCATGCAACCATTCTGCTTTTCACTCCAGCACAGTATTCAGTAGGCTACATGATATAGTCAACACTTATAAAAATTGGCTGTGTGTTATAGGATTTTGCCCAACTGTAGGCCAATGTAAGTGTTCTGAGCACATTTAACATAGGCTAGGCTAGGCTATAATGTTTGGTAGGTTGGGTGTATTGAATGCATTTTCGACTTAATGATATTTTTAACTTATGATAGTTTTATCAAGACATAACCTCCATCTTAAGTCAGGGAAGATCTGTGTTGTTGGGAGTAGCCCACCTCAGTCTGTTCAAAGGGTCTGAGGGTCCTGCCTTAATTCTCACCCTTATTAGAATTAGAATTTATTCAAATGCAAGAAAAGAAAGCAAGGCTGTTGAGAATCCAAAAAACAGGGCACGGTGGCTGAGATGTCACCTCATGCCCATGTCTTAGTGAACAAAATAAAGGTAAATCTACTGAAAGAGACTGAGGTGTGGCTTCTACATTACAGGTGATGTGGGTTGGAGATAAATATTCAGGAGAATGACTTACAGTACTGAGCTGGCATTTGTTCCTCTCTTCTTTAGTCTTTCATCATCTCCTCCTCTCACCTGGCCCAGCCTAAATCCAGGGGGATTAAGACAGGGCAAAATAAGAACAAAAATCAGCCACAGTGAAGGTAAGACACACACCAAGCCCTCACTCACCTCTTACCTTTTATTGCTAGTCTTCCCAAGTTACTTTTATATTGTTATGAGTCACTCTTTATATATATATATAGTAGCTAAATACTTATATATATATATATATATATACACATATATATATCTTTATGTGTATATATATATCTTTATATATATGTATAAAGATATCAATTGCTTCTTTATATCTATATCTAGATAGATAGATGGAGAGAGAGTGAGAGAGAGAGAGAACAAAGGGGTATATAGTGAAAAGTAAACTTTTTCTCCTGCCCCCACCCCACACCCTACACATGTTCAACTCCCCAGAGACAACTGCTAAAGGAAAAGTTCCCCATTCCTGATTTTTCCTTCTATGTGGGGATGTCAGTCCTGGCCTCTCTCCATTCCACCCTGGAATTTATTTTAAAATGGCTTAATCCGAGTGGTGAATTTGAGAAAGAGAAACTAGAGACCAGAGCTTCAGGGTGAAGGCATGCTCTGCTGCTGCCCAGTTGTGAGCTCTGCCCCGGTCCAGCCCTTTTATCACTGCATGGGTCAAGTTCCTCCTCCTGACATGCATTAAACAAGCCTGTTAGTTCTCCCAGCCACCAGGTACTCCAGTTCAGCCTTTACAAATAATAAAGTAACCCTGGAATTTCCCATCAACCCTACTCCTTGCCTTATTCCGCAATTTGTTCAGAAACCGGATGAGAAAGAGGAGCTCCATTGATTAGTTCTCTTCAGAAACTCCAAAGCCACTTACTTATCATAATACTACTTGTAATCTTTGTAATGTTAAAAAAAAAAAAAAAAAACAGTATCTTCTATTTCTCAACCCACCCGCTTCAGATAGTATTTCTCAACTGCCCAATATATGAGGAATTAGTTCCCTACATTTTTGCTCCAACTCTCCTTCTACACTATCCTCCAGCTTATCAGCTCTATGTTTAATTTTATAGTATTGAAGTTTAGAGTATTTTTATTTTATATAGATTTACATACATGCCCATGCGTGCAATTATTATAATTCAGTGTTCTAAACTTTGTCTGAAAGCCAAATTATGAAACTAAAAAACAACTGTAAATATTTAAAATGTGATTAAGGAAATACTATTTTCAGCAGAACGAATGAAAAAGTGAAATGTAAGCTTATGTCAGTAAACCTGTGCTACATGAAGAAACCTCTATCAATGTCAAGATCAAACAAATTTTCTTTTCTTATATTCCATTAATCACTCACTATTATGCCACATTTTTTGTTTGCTTCATATTTAGACAATGAGTTTTATACAAATGATTGTTTTCTCCTATTGTATTAGTCAGCTCAGGCTCCCATAATAAAACACCAAAGACTGGGTGGCTTAAACAACAGATACATATTTTCTCACAGTTCTGCAGGTTGGAAGTCCAAGATTAAGGTGTTAACAGAGTTGGTTTCTGATGAGATCTCTCTTCCTGGCTTGTAGATGGCCACTTTCTCACTGTATACTCACATGACCTTATCACTGGAGATCTTTCTCTTCTTATAAGGACACTAGCGCTATGGAATTAGAGCCCTACCCTTATGACTGCATTTAACCTTCATTACATGAAGGTTACATCCTTAAAGGCCCCATTTCTAAACATGGTTACATTGAGCATTAGAGTTTCAATGTATGAATTTTGGAAGGATACAATCCAGTCCATAACCTCCATGTCTGTTCAAAATCTACATATTTTGTAAATACTAGAATAGGAACCCCCTATGTCCATAAATAAAGTATCATTTACCAAATGTCTAGAAACTAACCTGAGGATGCCTTAAAACTAAATCATGGGCTTGTCTGCTCTGGAAAATATGTATAAAGTTGTATAATTCCCAGGCCAAATTACTCTTGTCCTCAGAGAAACCCAATGGGAGATTCCATCCAATGGGTCTGGCCCATTGAATGATCAAGGACCAGACACTGAGGACTATTCCCTCTGCCCCAACCTCCTTTCTCCATCTGTCCCACACCCTAATAAAGTTTAGCGATAGATACTATGACCTACATCCATGAATGAAGTGGTGATGACCCCAGCAATCACTCTCTTCATAAAATCAGAAATGAAAGGCATCTTAGATATCCACTTGTCCAAAGTCTCCATTTTATAATTGAGAAAACTGAAACCCAGAAATTTGGATGATGTTTTATGCCCAAATTACAGAGCAAGGTATATTAGAACCCAAGACCTCGACATTTTGTTCTGTTTCTTGTCCATGGAACCATTATGTTTTTCAATTCCTCTCAATGAGCAGAAGGACTCTGGAATTCAGGGAAGCTGCCCAATTGTTATGGATAAACATACATTTAGCCCAGAGTTAGAACTACAAATTGTATCTCTGTTCTAAAGTTTGAGGTCTAATTACTGTCAAGAGCTAAACTGGAAAAAACTGAGCTGACAGATGCTGAAGTGATCAACTAAGACAACAAGCCAAACCAAGAGTAACAATTAAGCCCGAATTTACTTGTTGCAATAGCATAACAAAGAGGCAAAATAATAAAAAGCACTGGCTCCCACAGTGTTCTATTTTCCTTTCATAGGTCAGCTCCAGGTGAGGTTCAAATGTAACAGCACAGCTTAGGGGATTGTCTCACTGCTGGGGAAGCTCTGGATGGGAAGGAGGACAAGGAGTGGAAAAGCACTAAACACTGAGTCAGGGTGTAGGAAAGCATCCTGAAGTCCCCTTGAGAAGGAGGCCTCTGAATAGAGGCCTTTGGACTAGGAATGTTGAAACATGTAACAGCGCGGCTGGCCTGGGGGGGCAGGTGCCAAGTGTCTGAAACTCCCTCCAGACTGTTATCAAGTATGGCAAGGACAGCTTTCCCCCAAGGAGCCTACCAGATAAAACCTTTCTAATTGCCTATGATTGGGCTTGAAAGATCATACATAGAATTCTGGTCTGGAGCCAGACTCCTCAATTACATATGCTAACATCACCTTTCCATGTCCCTAGACATGTTTACAAATAGTCTCTCACTCCATCAGCATGACTATTGCTTAATGTATATTTTGATTATCACAGTAACTATAGCCAAAATAAAACTAATTATCACCAAATTTTGGGGGTGAAGATACCAAAGATAATATAATTGGACATTTTGTGCATTATTATGAGTGCTTTTCTGTGTTCAAATACAGAGTTGGGGAAATTGCAAAATCTCACTCCATAAATACATGCATATATTTCTTGTCTTGTTTTGGTTACTCTAAAGATCTAAATATAAGCAATAGTCCATTATATTTTCATTTCCTAAAGCAGATGGCCATTAAATTTACTTTCTAATCTTATTATTCCATAAATTGTATATGGTTGTAATTTTAATTGTCTCATACCTTTCTTAGTGGAAATAATCTTGGTAGAAATAAAGAAGATATTAAAGATATATTGATTGGTATCTAAAAGATGCTGCCTGAGAAGATTTCATCATAAGAAAAGATACCCCAGATAGTATATAGGAACCTCCCTTTCCTAATCTTTTTTACTTTTTTTTTTAACATTTATTTATTTTTGAAGGAGCGAGAGACAGAGCATGAGCAGGTGAGGGGCAGAGAGAGAGGGAGACACAGAATCCGAAGCAGGCTCCAGGCTCTGAGCAGTCAGCACAGAGCCAAACACAGGGCTCGAACTCAGAAGCCTCAAGATCATGACCTGAACCAAAGTCGAGGCTCAACCAACTGAGCCACCCAAGTACCCCAGGAACCTCCCTTACCTAGTCTTGCCTCTAGATTCCACCTGCTTCCCTGCCTCAACACATTCCCTAAACTAGGACAGGAAATTTTGGAGAAAGAAGAGATGGGAACGAGAAGAAATTCACATCCTGAAACAAGCCAAAGCATGTTTCCACCCATTTTGTGGAACTTTTCAAAACTTGCTAAAGTAAACTTAGCTCTGTAAATGTTTATTTTTAAAGGTTGGATATTAAGTATGGAAGGGAAATTGAACTGCAGAGCAAGATGGAAGTGTTGTGTGAAATTTCAGTAATTGTTCCCATTAACTGAAAAAATATTTGCTTAGGATTTCTTTGCAGTACCGCCCTTTGGTTAGCCAAGGACACTGGAATGTGCCTGCCAGGAGAGATCTACTGCCATTTTACCTACCGCATTTTCAAAGCTGGCACATCTCCACCTATGCCTTCCTATGTTTAGTGTATTTACATACCTTCCCCTATTTGAATAAATAACACACAGAATGTTAATAGATCGGATTAAAGTGGAAACACACTACAAAAGAGAGAGCAATCATTAAGCCTCATCTTTCTGCTTCTTCCAGCTCTGCCACAGGCTTGGAACACTTCTTTTTCCTGAGTTTTAAAAAATTGTTGATTATGATTTTATTTATACGACACACAGTAAAATTAATTTCTCTTTTGGTATACCATCCTACAAAGTTTGTTTCAGGTTTCTTTTGTTGTTGTTGTTTTTATTTTAGTTTTTTGTTTTTTTTGTTTTTTTTTTTTTCTTGGGTTCTTTTATTGATTTAAGACCATTCATAGGCATTGATGAAAGTAGGCCTTTAGTATTTCCTTTCCTTGTATTTTTTTTTATAAATGATTTATAAGTCTTCCCAATACCTTGCTCTTTTTTTTTTTTTTCTCTGCCTACTCCCTTCTCAATTTTTTGGTCTTTCTGCTATCTAGTTCAGTCAGTTTCTATATGCAGGCAGCATGATATGCACACTATAAAAGACAGTTGTCCTGACTTGCTGTTTTCTATTTTTATGTTTGGACACAGAATAAAATTTGGGAAGCGTAGGTTTCCCACCTTCTGAAAAGCCATGCTGTACCAATTGGTTTAAATTTTTTAAATCCAAGTCCAGTTGGCCTATGTTATGACTTTCACAGGTTATTTTGAATAGAGCCAAATTCTAGCTGCCCAAATCAACCATCTTTTTGGCTGGATCCATGCTATTGCCTGGATCCCCATGGCTCTTCTGGCTCAGATCCACAGATCATACCTTGACCACTACCGGCCCTGCCCTTCTCAGCCCTCATTAGAGGATCGCGCCTTTGGTGCAAGGTAGGAACTAAAGACTCAATAAGGAAATAAAGGTAGAGACGTTATGTCAAGGACTCAGGACTCTTTAACATCCAGAAATGCTAACAGTCCCTGGTTTCCTTCTGGCCACTCTTTGAGACCACTGGGAGTATAGTGACCATGTCAGCCTCCTTTATTCATGAAAAGAAGTAAAATTAACCTAAATGATATTTGGGTGAATTCTCTTCCTCATGTATTCAATTTACTAAGAAGGATAACACATATATACATGAAGCCAATACATTTCCATCATTTACCCACAATTAAATTACTTAATATTTCAGATGTATTAGGATTAACTATAATCCTTTCCAAAGGAAATCTACTGAAGATAGTCATAAGTAATGAGTCAGTCTCATCCAAGAAATCACTCAGAAGTGGCGTACGAGCAAAGATAATGAGGACTTTTTCATGGAGACATGCCAAAAATAAGATATAGAATAAGAAACCACTCCAAACTATTTTATGTCTAAATATAAACAATAAGAGCAATATTATAAACCATAGACAAGTAAGAACTTGAGTGAGTGTTTCTGCATATTATCCATCTCAGGAGAACAACTTGCCAAGACTTGGGGAGAAACTATGCTTTACTCGCTACTAATAAAGAGGAAGAAGTTTGGATCTTCACACGGGAAAAAAATTTGTCTAGATATGCATGTGACATTGAGTAGCAAGGAAGACAGAAAGTGCCATCCCTTTATTAAGCATCCCAGGAAGATGAGTTTCACCAACAGGGCTTTGGACTCTATGCTTCTTAATATGGAGACTCTGTTTTCCATTTGGATCCCCAATCAGGACACTTGTTATCCCACCAAGAATAACTACCTTAGTCACAATGAAGCACTTAACACAAAGAAGCAAAGGAAACAACATCCTATCTCAAGTTTCAAAACTCACATCAGAGCAGTGCGTTAGATAGGTCAGGGATTTCTCCCTGTTTTGTTCCCTGATATGTTCCAAGTACTTATAACGATTCCTGACACCTAGCAGATGATCAATAAATATTTACTGAGTGAATGATATATGCAAAAAGTGAGTAAGCAATGATTCAACATTATTTGCACTGATGGATAAACTATTCCTTGGTGTAACTATCAGACATTTTGCAAAATGTTTTAGAAGTATAGTTGCCTCTTTCACTTGCTATTCAGCTACCAAATATATCTGAAATGAATTCAAAGCAAAAGCATAAGCATACTTTATCTTTTTATTTCAACAAATAAGTCATTGTGGACCTACTATGTGCAGACCATCGTAATAAATAAAAGTAAGAGCTCTTATGTGAAAAGCAAATCACAATACAGGTATAAGACAAAACAGGAGTAGAACACACAAGAGAATGAGCACAGTGGATAGCATAAGAAAAAGAATGACTCTTGTTTTAATCATCTGAGTCTTGATGAGTAGTAACTAAAATCGCATAACAAAAGTCTACCCTTTTACCCTTAATGTCTCTTCTGCTTGGTTATATAGATTGTACCAGTCAGAATTTGGTCAAGAAAACAGAAACCACTCTAGGTATTTCAAGCAGTAAGGTATTTAATACAGACAGTCAGAGCTCTTACACAAAACCACTTTAAGGGTGAAGAGAATAAAGGTCAGGGAAGCTCCTCACACCATTCAGAAAGTACAGGGATCAGAAGAAATCTCTGCCACTGATCTCAGCTTTCTGCAGCACCAAAGTGGGTGATTTCTAGAAGAATACTTAGAAACTTCTGGCAAAGCCTCATGTCTGCCTGTTACTAGAGCTCACATGCTTATCCACAGCAACTGAGTCAATGATGGCTTCTACTTCTCTTTTTTCCTTCTGTTGTGTTGTAAATCTCAAGGAGTGCCTTCTCATTTCTGGAACCTATACTGGAAGCCTGATGACAAAGCAGTTTTTAAAAAGTAGTTTCCAGGGGCGCCTGGGTGGCTTGGTCGGTTAGGCGTCCGACTTCGGCTCAGGTCATGATCTCACGGAGTTTGAGCCCCGCGTCAAGCTCTGTGCTGACAGCTCGGAGCCTGGAGCCTGTTTCAGATTCTGTGTCTCCCTCTCTCTCTGCCCCTCCCCTGTTCATGCTCTGTCTCTCTCTGTCTCAAAAATAAACGTTAAAGATTAAAAAAAAAAAAAATTAAAAAGTAGTTTCCAGGCTTCCAAACGTACAAGGCAGGGAGGAATGGAGAGGAGTTGCAATGTTGCTTAGATCCCAACAGAAAATCCAACACAAATATTTAAGTTAAGACTATAGCCAGGGCGCCTGGGTGGCGCAGTCGGTTAAGCATCCGACTTCAGCCAGGTCACGATCTCGCGGTCTGTGAGTTCGAGCCCCGCGTCAGGCTCTGGGCTGATGGCTCAGAGCCTGGAGCCTGTTTCCGATTCTGTGTCTCCCTCTCTGTCTGCCCCTCCCCCGTTCATGCTCTGTCTCTCTCTGTCCCAAAAATAAATAAACGTTGGAAAAAAAAAATTTTTTTTAAAAGACTATAGCCAACAAACAAAAAACAGAAAACAAAATAAAACAAAAACATAAACAAAATACCCAAAAGCAAAAAACCAAAACCAACCCCCCCAAAAAAAGAACATAGCTAAATATAAATTGTTTCCATTCATCATGTAGATTTAGTCATCTTCCTTTTGTAGTTCTGTTGTTTTTGTTGTCTTTCTAAAAATCTCATTTAAGAACCCCTCTAGGTACCATCACAGAAAGCAACTGGACTGGGTGGGCTTAACTTGTTCCCACTTGTCCCAGAAGGGACAAAAACCTGTTAAGCAGCTTGCCTATAGGTTGCTCAGAGAATGCTGTTTCAATAAAGCTTTATTTCCACCAGGGTAAGTCACTGGGAGGTCATAACAAGATGGAAAGGAAATGCTCTCAGGGAAGGTTTTGCAGAGTAGCAGTCGCTGAACAGACAAGAAAGCAGTGGATAGTGAAAGCAACAGAAACAGCGTGTGATAAGCCTGTCCTAGAATTTAACAGAAGGGGGAAAACATGTCTCCCCTGACCACCTTGCATGTTTTCTCATATCCGCTTAAGAAACCTACATTACAAACTCTTTAAGTTAGTGATATCTGTTGAGGAAAAAGAAAAAAAGGCATACTCTAGAGGTAGGGCTGAAGAAAAGATAAAGAATGGAATAATACAATCATATTTCTCTCATTTAAAACAACACAGAAATTATTTCCAGCAGCCCTCCCAACATAAGCTCCAAACAAAAGCCCCCTGGGCAGTGTGGGGAAGAATGAGCACAAACCACTCACCTACCCATTGCTCTGACCACTCCCTTACTCTCAGTTCATCTCTCCAGGAGGAACTTAAGGGCCACCCAGGCTGTGAGCAGTGTTCTGCTCTGGAGGAAATGCCTCTGGGAACTGGATTATGGCCTCCTAAGTGGAGAGAAACTCCCTGCCCTCCTTCTTCTGACCAGTTTCCTTGGGTTAGGGAGCCCCCAAAACAAAGCTCAAGTATCAGTTTCTTATTCTGATCTGTAAACTAAGAAAAACATTCTTTTATCTTTTTTCCCACCAGACCCTAGAGAGTTTTTCTCCTGTAAGTGCAGTGGAAGTTCAGGCTCCAAAAAGCCACCTAGGAAGCTGACCCATGGCCAACTTAAGACCCACACCCCTCAAGACCCAGCAGTAATGTACCGGAGGACTTAGCCAAAAGCAACATGGTAGGAGCCGTGCCAGGAGAGGAGCAGAGGGGTGAGAAGGTGTGTTAAGATTTTAAAGTTATTTCTTCTTCACTGGGTTCCATTACTCAAGACGGATAAAAATGAAGCACTTGGAGAACAAAAACACATTGAGAAGTAGCCAAAGCACTAGAATCCTCTTCATAAAAGAAGGAGGAAAAAGGAAGGGAGGGAGAGAGAGTGATGAGTGAATGAAGGAGAGAGAGAAGATTTTAATTTTTCTTTAGGGGAAACTAAAGTCTCTTATATGAGGAAGCCTAGATTTAGGGTTGCAAACACTTTCAAATATATCAGTGGCATACAGAAAAGACTGAAAATAAGTTGATAATACATCGCTTTTCAAGGTGTTTACTTGCTCTCAGCTCAGTGGGTGGTATGCTTCGATTTATGCTTTTCCTCATTATATAGTATAGAATGCAATTAAGGAAGGGTCATCAGTAGACTAAATCTTCCCTTATAATAATCTTCTGTAATAATGAATAATCAGTCACAGGGAAAAGAAGATTAAAATAAAAGGCTTAGTCAAATCCTAAAACTACAGGTTGAGCACATAGCTGCAGTTGTGTGATTGCCTGAATACCTTTGCGTGAAGCCAACAGATGAAGAATATGTGTTACAGAAACGTCCTTATGCTCAATCAGTTCATTAAGCAATAGTTTTTTTTCTTAACGTTTATTCATTTTTGAGAGACAGAGAATGAGCACTGGAGGGGCAGAGAGAGAGAGAGAGAGAGAGGGAGACACAGAATCCAAAGCAGGTCCAGGCTCTGAGCTGTCAGCACAGAGCCTGATGTGGGGCTTGAACCCACAAGCTGTGAGATCTGACCTGAGCCGAAGTTAGACGCTTAACTGACTGAGCCACCCAGGCGCCCCTATGTGACAGTTTTAGTTCAAAGCCTATCATGCTGCATGGCTAAACACATTAGTACAAACCCAACTTTCCCCAAATTGGAACGACAATGACAATCAATCAATCAATCAATAAATATCAGGCCAATAGACTATTGGACTTTTTTAGGTATAATTAACATACAATATTATGCTAATTTCAGGTGTACAACGTAGTGATTAAACATTTGTATACATTAGGAAATGATCACCAAGATAAATTTAGCTTCCATCTGTTACCAAAGTTGTAACAATATTATTAACTATATTCCCTGTGTTCATTACATCCCTATGACTGATTTATTCTATAACTTCAAGTTTGTACCTTTTAATTCTCTTCCCTTATTTCACCCATCCCAAGATGGCCCACCCCTCCAGCAAACCAGATTGGTCTCTGTATCTATTAGTCTGTTTCTGTTTTGTGTTGTTTTGTCGGTTCATTTGTTTTGTCTTGTTTTTTTTTACATTCCACATGTAAGTGAAATCATAGGATATTTGTCTTTCTCTGTCTGACTTATTTCACTTAGCATAATACCTTCTAGGTCCACCCATGTTACCACAAAGGGCAAGATTTTGCTCCTTTTTATGGCTGTGTAATCTTCCATTGTATATATACCACATCTTCATGCATTGGATATTCTTTATCTATTGGATTGTTTTGAGTAAGAATTAGGCTCAAAATGAAAAATGTAAATGAAAAGTATTCTTTATCTGTTTGATTGGCATTCTCTGTATTCAAATTTGCCATCCCAGAAGTCTAGATAAAATTATAAAGCCCAGAAAAAGTATAAAGGCTGATAAAAATTCCAGCAGGTATATTTTTGAAACCTGATTTTTTGTAAGCTTCTCTCTAAAATAAATTTCACAGTATTACCACTTTCAGACTCTAACTGGAGAATTCCAAAGCAGCTGGTTTCTCCCTGGATGATGTTGCATAAGGGTATCTAATAAAGCCCTTCCTAATATACGAGGTACATTCCTGCACTGTGGAATCATTACCATCAAAACAAAACTTGATATTCAGAGAAGTGTGTTTTTCTTCTGTAGTCCCCCTCCTCCTTCCATTTTTGATGATAATTTCATGATCATTCCCAGCTTTGCTCTTCTAGCGTTTTCTTATAGGGTCATTACTGGAATTCTATGGGGGATGATTCCTCATTATTCAGGACAGTCTACGACACTATAGGACAACATTAGTATTCCCAGCCCTCACTCACTACATTGAGTAACACCTCCTAGTCATTCTGACATCACACATTCTCCCCCACGTTTCCAAATGCCTACCAGGAGGTGGTACTCCTCTGGTTGAGAAGCACTAATGCCTCTAATACATGCTTCTGTACGGACAACTACTATCTCTCCCAATCCCAAAAGGCAATTTATATTTCTTGTGGCTGGGACACAAGATTTCTTCTCAGAATGTGGTGATTTCTCTCCATCGATGTATTCCTCTCTGCTGAAGACATGGTTCCTATAGAACGTGGGCCCATTTTGACCATTACACATGATCAGTGTTGTTTAGTGTTTTCCTATCTTACATAAAGACACAGACCAATGTGGAAGTAGAAGTAAATGTATTTTCTTCACCTAGGAATTCCCTCTCAAGTTCTCTCAGCGCAGCTCTGTACACATTCATCACATTATACCACTTCCTCATCCGAAAGGACAAATGAAAGTGTTCCCTACCGGCGCCTGGGTGGCTCAGTCAGTTAAGTATCCGACTTCGGCTCAGGTCATGATCTCACACTCTGTGAGTTCAAGCCCCGTGTCTGGCTATGTGCTGACAGCTCGGAGCCTGGAGCCTGCTTCAGATTCTGTGCCTCCCTCTCTCTGACCCTCCCCTGTTCACATTCTGTCTTTCTCTGTCTCAAAAATAAATAAACATTAAGAAAGATTTTTTTTAAAAAAGAAAGTGTTCCCTAGATATTGCTGTTGCACCAATTACATTCTTTTCAAGAAAAGGATTCTCAGTTCTAGTAAGGGGAACTACTTTTATTCACTGACATCTTTTCCCAGCAGCATATTTGGTGCAACCTCAGCCACATGAAAGAATTTCAGCAGGCCTAGGAAAGGGCTTTTTAGGCTCAGGAACCTTCCTAAAGATAAGAGACAAACAGCTGCCTGGTAGGAAACAGGGAGAAGTTATGGATTAGGAAGAAAGTAGGCCACTCTGATACCACCTAGATACTATCTCATCAATCATGCTAAGGCCTTGAAGAGCTTTGTGTTGAACATTTCTATCCCTTGTGATGGTGGTCTTATCAGTTCTCAGGTCTGTCCTCATCAAGAATTTTCCATTATTCAGATTATTCAGCATGAGAACATAGAAAAAGCAAATCCTTAAGTCCACATGATGTTTGGAGAGAGGTAAAACATTTATTTCGATGCATAGGTGGTGATCTTGCCATGACATAATGCTTGCCATGAACAGTAAAGCATTATGGAATAAGACCAAACAAATGAAAGAGATCACCCTCAATTCCACCTCACTCCAAAAACTATTTTTTATTTTTTTCCTGTATAGATCCTATCTATAATTGCAATCAGTTTACATGTCATTACTTATTGTGCTTTTAAAAAGCACATCACATTTTCTGTATTCTTACTTGCTTACATAACCATTACTATATTTAATGGTGGTACTAGAGTCCCTCTCATTTATAATCTGTAATTAGCTACATTCCTTTCTTATTGTTGAATATTTAATGTTTTTCTTTTTCTTTTTTTCTCTTACAGATAAAAACATCTGTCCTACATCTGTCAAAATATTTCCTTAGGAAAAATTCTCTAGCATAGGATTACTTGGTCAAATGAGATGAATGTCTTTGTAGGTTTTACTTAGGGTTACCTTATACCTTTTAAAAGGAGATATGTCCATTTGAAATGCTCATCGCTACATATTTATATCTCTACTTTACTTTCAACCCAGATGACATAAAATAATAACTCTCAATTGCATTTCTTTGGTTATTAGCAAGAGCACCTACCTTTGATTAAGCTATGCTCAAATTACCTCCCTACTCATTTGCAATTCTTTTGTTAAATGTTTTTATTATTTATTTTTGAGAGAGAGAGGGGCAGAGTGTGCAAAGGAAAGGGGCAGAGAGAGGAGACACAGAATCCGAAGCAGGCTCCAGGCTCTGAGATGTCAGCACAGAGCCGATGTGGGGCCACGAGATCATGACCTGAGCTGAAGTTGGAGGCTCAACCAACTGAGCCACCCAGGGGCCCCTCATTCGCGACTCTTACAGTGGAAAGTATAAGAGCAATAGCAGTTTATGAGCTTGTGTTGCTTTCATCCAAATTTAAATCAAATTGCAGAGGAAAACACTCAAAGGAGACAGAGGAAGTATCATTTATCCTTTGTGTTTTGATAAACCCTTTCCTGACTTTCTCCTGTGATGTAAAGAAAAAAAAAAACCAAAAACCCTCAAATATTTAGTGAAAAGCTTATATATGAGTTAATAAGCCTATATAATAAGTTAATGTTTCTTTGGCTGCACAAAATATAAATTTACATTAGTTACCCAAGTGAGAAAAAGAATTTGTAGGCAGTATACTAATGAATCTAATAAAATATAAGGAAGATTCTGGGTCATATGGTCTATCATTTAGGATATATTTTATTGCAAGTAACTGAAAATTTAAGAGTGGCTTTATAAATAAAGAGATTTAATTACCTAGCAAAATAATATTCTACATATTCCAGGGCTGGTTCTGCCACTTGACAATGTTATCAAGGAGCCAGACTCTTTCCATCCTTTTATTTCACCAGCCTCAGTATGCCAGCCATTTGGGGGCTTAGTTGTCTCATGGTCACAAGATGGTTGCCTTGACACCAGGTACTCCATTCAAAGACAGGAAGCAGTAGGTGAGGATGGTGGCTAGGGTAGAAAGGAACTTATTCTTTCTCTTTTTCTCAAGGAGTAATACGCATTTCTCAGAAGACACTTAGCACACTTCCTGTTGTGTCACAGTAGATAAAACTGAGTTTATGATTATTATTAGACTTATTAGACTGAACTTGGTTATGACCATCCCTAGCCTGGAAGTTAGGACCACTTTCTAGGAGATCAAGGAATCTTCAGCTAACACTGGAGGGAAATTGTGGTGTTTGATAATGGATAAGAATAGAAGCTATGCCTCTAGGTAGACAACCAGATTGTGTGACACATATGGGAACCAGGGAGTTTGTGGACCTTCTTTTTTTCTATAAATGGGTTTTCATTGACAGGAAACTCAAATGTCTGTTTTTTTCCTTAGATCAAACTACAAATGTCTAAGAGTCTTATTGGTTCCATTTGCCTTTCAGAGAGCACCTCAGAGTGAAAGTATGGCTTCTGATGCCTCATCTGACGATTCACAGGTGGGAAAGGGGAGAGCATCAGCCTTAAAAAAAAAAAAAAAAAGGGAATTGTCTTAAACAGCAATAAGCACAATGTATATCCCTTACATCTAAATTAAACAAAATACCATCAAAAGATATTTACTGATTCCCTAACTTGTAGAAGAAATTGTACCAGATCCTGTGGGGATGCAATGTATATCCCCTTGTCCTTGTCCCTAAAGTGACTACAATCCGTTTCAGGAGTATAGACAGCACTACAGGGAATAGATGAGAGCTAATTTTAAGATACAGACCATAAATGTTTTGTACCCTAACAACTTTGTTAAAGAGAATGGCACATAAACGATTTCAGGTGAAAGGAGAAAAGGCCTGGAAATGTTTAATTCATTCAACAACCCTCATGTAGTCAGCTGTGCCACAGCTCTTTCTTGGTCACTGGTCACCCAGGGTCTCAGCCTCTTCTTATGTTATATAGCCCACCATTTTGATGGCATGGGCCAGTGGTGTGGCCTTAGAGATTGCTTCAAGAAATCCTGCTTCTTTCAGGCAGCCTTCATCTTTTCCACCTCTTCTTGCCTTTTTCAGGACATTCATTTTAACTCCTTCCACCTCTCACTGTCATTTTCTGAGTGGTTAGTGAAAACTATATTATTAGGGACAAAATTTTTCTAATCTCTTTTATAGCCACGAAGCAAACACATAATATAGGACTCAGTTAATGATTCTGCTTTTGGTTTTCTGTGTGATAAAGAGCAAGTCTCTTAAATTTTCTGTGCTGAAGAAATCATTTAAAGGAAAAAATAATAGGATTTGTTTCTTTTTCACCTTTTCAACTGAGTTTCTGATGTAAATCAGGGAAATAGCCCACCAAAACTTGTAGTATTTTAGCAAAATATTTTATGAAAATGTGTAGTTCTTTTTTTTTTTTTTTCAACGTTTATTTATTTTTGGGACAGAGAGAGACAGAGCATGAACGGGGGAGGGGCAGAGAGAGAGAGGGAGACACAGAATCGGAAACAGCCTCCAGGCTCTGAGCCATCAGCCCAGAGCCTGACGCGGGGCTCGAACTCACAGACCGCGAGATCGTGACCCGGCTGAAGTCGGACGCTTAACCGACTGCGCCACCCAGGCGCCCCAAAAACGTGTAGTTCTTTTAAGAAAATACCAGAGTTCAAATGGACTTGTATATTCTCTCTTTTTTGAGAGAGGTAATAGCTCTTCAGCTGGAAAACCCAATTACTAAAGTCTATATATTTTATCTTGGTCATCAGAGCATTCAAGAAACACTATGAATCCAGTTAAGAAAAATAAATGTTCACACCCTTGAATGAATGATAGTAAGGAGGACTAAAATACAATTAGAAATGCTATTATCTGAAACTATTTGTGAGTCAAAAACCAATTGCTTAAACTAAAGCAGAGAGACAGACACCCAAAGGCTCTGGAATAGCATTTGGGTTGAAAATTTGGTTAATATATTCCTTCCAGACTGAAGCACCCAGATCTGGATCCATTATTGTCACACAGAGGTTCTTGTTTTTTAAATCATTAACTGCTATTCAGGACTTTCCTCAGGAAGCAGACCCTTAGTAACAGGAAGACTTTCTAAAAATTTCTCCTTTCAGGAAAAAGACTGGAAGTCCGGAAAAGGGGAATTCACTATATATTAGACTACATTATTTGCAGATGCAACTGAAAACCACTCCTTTGTAAAACCTTTTTTGATCCCATAAATTAGCAATTAACTTCCCTGTGTTGGAGACTACCAGGGCTGATAATTTTAATCTCTTCCTAGCATTTATGTTATTAACTTACACTACTGTTAGTTATTTCCTCATCAATCCTCCTCACCAAAGTTACAAGTTCTTGGGAGGAAACAACCAGTTCTTTCACATTTTTGACTCCTCCTTGCCCCCACAGTGTCTGGAATAGTTAATAATAACTTGTACTATGCGTCAGGCATTGTGTAAGCTACCAGACAGAAAATGGACAACAAAATTAGTACAGTACTCTTTGCCTCCTGCTTAAAATCTAGAATGTATAACAGATACGATTGAATAAGCAATAACAACAAAATGCCATGCATCCTGGAATAGGAGTTGAGGTGTTCAAGGAGGGCTCATTTCCGTGGCATGCCTGCATTATGAATACCTCATGGGTATGAATACCTGAAGTGTAGTTTGTTCAGTAGCATTCCATATGAGATTGAATATAAATTCATGGAAAGCTGGGTGAGTTCAGATGTCAGTTCCTTGTCTTTGAGTCTGATAAGAATCACGTGAGCCTCACACTCAGACTGTGTATGCACTAAAATGAAAAGGTCCCAACAGGCACCCTGAGGCTTTAGGATGGGGAGGAGGCAACCCTAACCCCCAATGCCCCAGCTTTGTTGATTGTTCCTTTTAATGAATGTCTTTCTACATATTTCTTAAGTCCAGTGTTTGCTTGTGCTAACACGTGTACGAGCTTCATCTTTCATGAGGAGTTCAATGAACTGCGCTGGTAGACATCCCTTGCACGAAGGAAAGTACAGGAAACTGTGGAAACACACAGAGCATACAACGTAGTTTCAACACATTCATTTGAACTATGAGTAAGTGATTATCAAAACTTGAGAAAAAAACAGCATTCAGATAACACTAAGAAAATTAAAATGGAAACAGAAATTGTGAATTATTCATTCAACTAATAATTATTGATGACCTATTGCATGTATGTTATCTTACAACGATAAAATCTGTGGTTACTTTAGAGTTTGGGGATTGTTCCTTCTCCTTCTCCTCCTTCTTCTTTTTCTCCCTCTCCTTCTCCTTCCCCTTCTTTTTTTCCCATCAAAGAAGTGAAAAGACAACCTATAAGATGGGGAAAAAATATTTCCAAACCATATACCTGATGAGGGGTTTCTATCCAACATATATAAAGAATTTATACAACTCAGTAGCAAAAATAAATAAATAACCCAATTTAAAAATGGGCAAAGGACCTGCGTAGACATTTCTCCAAAGATATATGAAAGGCCAACAGGTACATGAGAAGATGCTCGACATCACTAGTTCTCAGGGAAATGCAAATTAAAACATAATGATATATCACCTTATGCCTTTGAAACTGGCCATCATCATAAAGACAAGAGAAAACAAATGCTGGCATGGATATGGGGGAAAGGGATCCCCTGTGCACTGTTGGTGGGAATGTAAATAGGTATAACCACTATGGAAAACAGTATGGAGGTTCCTCAGAAAAATTAAAAATAGAACTATCATATGATCCAGCAATTCCAATTCTGAGAATATATCCAACATAAACAAAAATATCAACTCAAAAAGATATCTGCACCCCATGTTCATAGCAGTATTATTTAAAATAGCCAAGATACAGGAACAATCTAAGTGTCTATCGATGGACGAATGGATTAAGATATATATACAATGGAATATTATTCAGCCTTTAAAAAAGAAGGGATAGGAAACTGTTCTGGATTGTGGACTAAAGAAGTGCAACAACTAAATGCAATGAGTTATTCTTTTTTGGATCCTGGATTAAAAAAATAAAGCTATAGAGGATATCATTCAGATAATTACAGAAATTTGATAATGGGCCATATATAAGAGAATAGTTTCATACACAAGCTACTTGTACCTCCTAAGGGTTGGTGGATTATGATATTTTCAGATGGCTCAGAAAGAGAGAAATGGAGAAGCAAAGGATTAAAAATGAGCTAGCCTAGATAAATAGATAAATATATAGTTGCTCATTGCTCTCATCTTGCAAATGTTCTGGAGATTTGAAATCTCATCATCAACAATGAAAAGAAAACAATGCAAGTGCTCTGTCTCCAGAGGTGGAGATTTATTTTATTTATTTAATATTTATTCTCTAAGAGTAGAGAACAGCTTTCTCCATTCAGTCACTGTGCAGAACAGCATGGTGAAAGGCAGCATGGTGTGGTGGTAAAGAGGAAATTCCACCATTTGCAACAATATGGAGGGATTTTGAAGCATTATGCTAAGTGAAATAAGTCAGACAGAGAAAGTCAAATATTGATCTTACTTATATGTGGAATCAAAAAAGAAGAAAAAAAACAAACTCACACAAAAAGAGAGCAGACTTGAAGGAGGAAGGTTCTCAAAAGGCATAAACTTCCAGTCATACAAAAAATGCATACTAGGGATGTAATGTACAACATGATGACACAACTAACACTGATGTATGATATGTAGGAAAGTTATTAAGAGAGTAAATCCTAAGAGTTCTCATCACAAAAATAATTTTTTTCTCTTTTCTTTTTTTCTTTTTCTTTTTATTGTTATCTATATGAGAGGGTGGATGCTAACTGAACCTATTGTGGTAAAGGAATAGGCTCTGGAGCCAAACTTCCTGGGTTCCTATTGCAATTTTTTGCATAGTAACTCTGTGGCTTTGAACAAATCACTTAACTTCCTTGTTCCTTAGTTTCCTATAAAATGGGAATAAAACTAGCACCAACCACATAAAGTTTTTGTGAGGGTGAAAGTATATAAAGTGATGCTGGCAAATAAAGAAGTCAATAAACATAAGCTATTAGTATTTCACCCCAGTGGTCTCTTAAGGCAAGAGTGAATGTCCTCAAAAGATGTCAGTGAGAGAATACATCCTTTAAAATGTAATAATTGTGGATCTCACCAATAATAAAAATTATCATCTGGGAATATTTTTATTATTTCTTATTCCCTCTCTGATATTCTCAGAACTTCAGTTTAGTGGCTTATGGGTTTTTTTTAATGAACAATTTTAATAATATCTTCCTGGTAGGGTTATTGTTATGATTAGAAGTCCAAGAATACTCACAACGATTATTCTGAGTAAGCAAAAAAAGTTAAATTATGCTTGATAATCTCTATTAAATATGACAGGGAAATATTTTAGAAATATTTTCACTTAGGGTGCCTGGGTGGCTCAGTCAGTTAAGTGTCTTGACTCTTGGTTTCGGCTTAGGTCATGATCTCAGGGTTTGTGAGTTTGAGCTCCACGTCAGGCTCCATGATGACAGTGCAGAGCTTGCTTGGGATTCTCTCCCTCTCTCTCTACCTCTCTCCTTCTCATGCTTACTCTCTCTCTCTCAAAATAAATAAATAAACTAAAATTTTAAATAATTACCTTTCAACACTGCTTCTTTCAAGACTTTTCTTTCTGTTAAACCCACAATGGGGACTTGAAATAAAACCCAGGGACAAGCTAATGTATGAACCTAACAAAATATGTTCTTCCCCTTCCCCAACATGACTTTTTTCCTTTCATCACATTGACATTTTTTTTTTTTTTTTTTTTAGTCCAGGACAGACAGTTATTGTTGCAGATTGTCCCTCAGTTTAGATTCATTTTATTGCTTCCTCATGATTGGATGCAGGTAAGACATTTTGGAAAGGATAACATTCAGACAAAGTGGAGCCTTCTCAGTGAACCATATCATGGGCAAATAGGGTCAGTTTGTGTCGTTATTGATAATGCTGAATTTGATCATTTGGATAAGGTAGTTTCTGCCAGATTTCTCTGTGGTAAAAGCAATGTTTCTCTTTCAAATTAATAACTAATATGTAGTGGGGGAGCACCTGGGTGGCTCGGCCTGCTGAACGTCTGACTTGATTTCAGGTCAGGTCAGGACCTCTTGGTCTGGGATGATGCTGGAGGAAAAGGTGAGAAACACTGCCTGCTTCCCTAAACCCTTCTTTCATATGAAGCAAAAGCTCTATACCATTTGGTTAGGGGAAGCAAACCGTCGTGCTGAGACCTACTTCCTGAAGGGAGGGTAGAAATAAAAATCCTGCAGGGCACCTGGTTAAGCATCCCACTCTTGGTTTTGGTTCCAGTCATGATCTCATGGTTCGTGATTCGAGCCTTGCATTGGGCTCTGCTCTGATAATGAGGAACCTACTTGGGATTCTCTCACTCCCTCTCTCTCTACCCCTCCCCTGCTCGTTCATTCTCTCTCCCTCTCTCCTCCCCCCACTCCCTCAAAATAAATAAATTTAAAAAAAAAGAAGAAGAAGAAATAAAAGCCCTGCTCCTAGAGAAAAGACAGGAGTACCTCCTGGGCTCATATTCCTGTACTGGTATAAATTAAAGGTCTGCTGCCACTGGAGGGAGGGTAAGAATATATAAGAATGCTATTGAATTAATACATAAAGGAAAAAAAGATAAAATTTAGCAAAAGATATGTACATGTGTGTCATTAAAGAAGAAACTCAAATGACAAACATATTAAAAGTATTCAACTTTATGAATAATTAGATAAATGCAAATAAAAATCATAAAATATCATTACATATCCTTAAGGTTTGTATAATTTTAAAAATCTGGCACAACCAAATGCAAAGAAGTGAGTCAGTGGAGATTTTCATGCATTTTAGGGGGTAGAAATGGGGTATAACTGTTTTTGAAAACCAATTTTTCATCACTAGTAAATGTAAATTTGTACATACACTGCAGTTTTAGTAATTTCACTCCAACATATGTACCCTAGATCATCAATTCATGCCCATGAGCACCTGGGGACAAGTGTAAGAATAATCAAAGCAGGATGGATTGTTCACAATAGCTCCAAACTTAAAACAACACAAAGCCTATGACCAACATTTGGGTAAATAAAATATAGATACTAACCAGCAATGAAAAGGAAGGGACTACATCTACACTGTTGAATATCACAAACATAATGTAGAATAAAATAAGCAAGTATAAAAGTATATATAAACTATGGTTGTATTTGTAGAAAATACAAAGCAAGGCAAAACTAAAAAATATATTATTTAAACATGCAAACATTGGTGACAAAAATATAAAGAAATAAACTGAATTATAGACATAAAATTTTTACTCTCTCTCCATGCAAAGCGTGGAGCCTGCTTAGGATTCTCTCTTCCTCTCTGTCTCTCTCTCTCTCTCTCTCTCTGCTTTTCTCCCCACTCATGCATGCTCTCTCTCCCTCTCTCAAAGAAAAAAAGAAAAAAAAAAAAAAAAGAGAGATACCAGCTCTCAAGCCTCATCTAGACCTGCTGAATCAGAAACTCTGAGGGTGGGGCCCAGTGACTCTCATTTTTACCAATTCTCCTGGGTGATTTGGATGTGTGCAGAGTTTGAAGACACATCTCTATACCGCCCTTGGATTTACCTCAGAAAGCCACTAGTTCTCATCTGAACAAGAAAGTCTTCCTCTCTTCTCTTCTCTTCTGAGAACACATTCTCCCCTCCCCTCTTCCCCACCCCACCCCCCATTTTTTTGTCTTTTTCAGGCTCATCTCTAATGCTACTTCATGCAGGAAGCTTTCCAAGCCTGGAAGAACTAAATTTGGTTTCTCCCATCATCTGGAAAGAGTCACCTCTCTGACTCCCGTCCTGACCCAGCAGAGGATATTCACATTGTTTCTTTAAACAAAAATAAATAAATACAGAAAACCAGAATCAAAACTTCAAACCAACCACAGAAAGCATTTGGTGTGTGTTTAGATGATATGTGAGTAAACATGTGACATGTTTATTTTACTGCTTTAGAACTTAAACTTCTGGACTCAAGGAACAATAACATGTATTTACTCTTGGGCAACAGAGGAGCCAAATACATTTTTAAACACTGTATAACTGTGAAAATACTCCCAAATCATGATTCTGCCCGATTATCTGCTGTAGAATCCCAGGGCTGGATTGAATCAGTGTTCATGTAATTGCTTGCATTTAAAATTGTTCCTCAGAGGTTATGTCCCCATGGTGCTCTAACTACTGCATGGAATATATGACAGCCTGGCCCCTGTTCCCATGGCCACTTCCCTGTGGCTTTCTGTGCTTCTGGCTTAGCTTTCCCTGGGAAGAAAAACTGGATGCTTTCTTGGTACTGAGCCATGCTCTCATCTGGGATAAATATTAAGAAAGAAGGAGGGAGCTTTTGTTCAGATTATAAATGCCAGATCCTGCCACATTAATTGTCCTGCACATCCCAACGGTGCTTACTTCAAACACTTGGTTTTCAAGCCCTCCTCTCTAAAGGATGTGCTGGGAACTGTCAGGAATCACAGAGGAGTGAGTCCTACACTACTTTCATGAACACTTACTCTAAGATTGCCACTGACAGAATAAAGGGAAATCCCTGGACCATATTGTGGTTTATCAGCTTTCACGGAGCACAATGTTTCCCAGATTGGAGACTTCCATACCCCCAGGGAATCATGAGAATTGTTAAAGAGGTCACCATTTTGGCTTCAAGCCAAAAGGACATAAACCACCACCAATGAAAGGCTTTTTAGCCTTAGAGTTCGTATTGACTTATAGGAAACCACTCAGTTACTATAAATGAAAGAGCTCTTTGACCGTTTCCCTTGCAAAATCGGAGGGAGAGTAAATAGGCCATGGCTGATGGGCAGAAAGAAAGTAGCAAAAAGAAATGTGAGTGAATGATAACAGAATAAAGAGGAAAGAAAAGAATAGTCAAAGAAGAGAATGTGGAAAGAAAGAGCAAGCAGTGAAGAGGGAAAAACAGTGCAACAAGATCAACTCAATTTCTAATCCTATGTTTTTAATCATGGTGATAATTTTAGACACCGCTTTCAAGGAAAAAAAAAAAAGGGTTACAAAGGATCCTAAATAAGATTAGTAATACTGACTTTTCCTTGTGTCTTAAGTTCCAGTATGGGCTGGCAAGCACTGTTACTGATCCTGCCTTTCTTTAATATTTTAAAATTCTGTTCATCCTGGATTTTTTTATTTTTTAAATATTATTTATCCTGATTACTGTGTTTTTTGGTGTCCCCTAAATTTTGTACCTTGAGGGGGTTGCCTCTCATGCCTCACCCTAGTCCTGGCCTCATAGACCAGGCTTTTCTTCAAAATTTGATTTGGTCTTGTCAGAAAATGAGATGGAGAAAAAATACTTCTTTCGAATGGAAAGTCTAATTAAGTGTCTCAGTTGAGCTGAACACAGATTTTTAGGACTGGAAGGTCTCTTGAGAAGCTATTTTCGCAGATTATATGGTTAGAGAAACGCTTGTACCTGAAGAATCCAATGTGAAGACTTTGAGTAAAGTTTCCTCCAAGTGCTCATTGATGTCATCTAGCCAAAGCCAGGCAAGTAATCTTCTCCTGGTTCTCTCTTGCTCTGTCACAGATGTAAGGCCCAAATATGAAACCAAAGACTCTTGTCCTGCCAAATCTGATGAGAAGGGCAAAGCAGAAACACAGCAACTCCCAGGTTTAAATTGCAATTTGGGGGGCACCTGGGTGGCTCAGTCAGTTGCACATCCAACTCTTGATTTAGGCTCAGGTCATGATCTCAGAGTCGTGGGATCAAACCCCGGACTGGGCTCCGTGCTGAGTGTGGAGCTCGCTTTAGATTCTCTCTCCTGCCCTCTCCCCTGCTCTCTCACTCTCTTTAAAATAAAATTTAAAAAGTAATATAAAAAAAATGCACTATGAACCTGACAAGCTTTTCCCTAGAGCAATGTCAGAAGGTTCAGGAAAAACATGTTTTGAATGTTGTGGAAAAGGATATGTCAACCAGGCTTCATACGTATTAAGTCTGAATCTGTAGACTCTAGCAGGAGACCACAGAAATGCATTTGGATGAAGAAAATCCTTGTGGAATAAAACTAAATTGACCGACCTCAAAAATCTGATCTTATGCTACCATTCAAAGAAATGTACAATGGTATGTTCCAACTACAAATATGGGTGAAAATTTGGTATGTGTAGCTAACAATAATAGTTTTATGAAATTGTTACCAATTGTTAAGGGAGAACAGAGTACTAAGCATTTTATTTGTGTTACTTTTATTATTCTTCATTTTAACCATGAATAGAAGATTTTACTATAAAGAAACTGATGGGGCGCCTGGGTGGTGCAGTCGGTTAAGCGTCCGACTTCAGCCAGGTCACGATCTCGCGGTCCGGGAGTTCGAGCCCCGCGTCAGGCTCTGGGCTGATGGCTCGGAGCCTGGAGCCTGTTTCCGATTCTGTGTCTCCCTCTCTCTCTGCCCCTCCCCCGTTCATGCTCTGTCTCTCTCTGTCCCAAAATAAATAAATAAACGTTGAAAAAAAATTTTTTTTAAAGAAACTGAAGCTTAGAAAAATGATCTGTCCTCAGGCTAATGAAGCAGCTTTAGTCATGGGGCTGTATTTTTAACCTGAGTCTATCTTAGTCCCAAGTCACCGTTCTCTCCTCTAAACCAGGACTCTGCAGGCTACAGACCACATGCCAAGTTTACTGGGCCACCTCACAGTCTGCAGACTACTGGTTTTTACACCTTTAAATGGCTGAGAAAAATCCAAAGAAGAATACCATTTCATGACGTGTGAAAATAATTATTTTGTGGCATGTGACATTCAAATTTCAATGTCCATAAACGAAGCTTTGTTGGAACACGGCCATGCCCATTCGTTTCCTTACCTATCTATGTGGCATGCCCACCACAGTGGCAGAGTTGAGCAGCCACTACAGAGACATCACAGCCCACAGCCTAAAATATTTACTGTCGGACTCCTTATAATAACACTTGCTGACCCCTGCTCTATATCACTTTGCACCCTAATTTGGTAGTAGCAATTTCCTTAAAATTTCATTTTGAAAAATAATAATCCCAACATTGACAGGCCTTCTTTCCTCACTATAGACATAACCAATATTCCTGATCCACATCTCTTTTTCTCAATTTCCCTGCTTGCAACCTCCAGCCTGCAAAAGAAATCTCATTCCTACTTAATGTTCTACCAATCAGATCAAGTCAAACTCTTGTCTAATTCAATTCTAGTCTATGTGGAAAAGAAAACCGTAAACAAGCACATAGACATGACTGCTAGTTTCTTGATAAAACACACATTTCTGCCAACACCATGACTGATTATAGGAATCCTACACCAAGCCAAGAGAGAGACCCCACTTAAGTAGCATCAAGAGAATATTTGTTTCAAGCTACATAATCCTATGAATAAAGAATAACAAAATGATGGCAAGGTAAACATCACCATGCCACAATGCAAACAAAACAAAGAAGCTATTGCAAAATTCTGTATAAATATCTAGTCTTTAACATCTTCTTCCAATAGATTTTTGCTGCCTGCATTTCCTCTGACACTTACTCTGCTGACCTGGCATCCCAGACATCATTGTGCAAATGTTCTGGGAATCCAAGAGTCAGTTCTCAGCACCCTTCTTCTAGCCCCCAAGCATTATTCATAATGCGAATGTCATCACCATGATCCAACTGCAGTCTCATAGTCTCCTTGAAACAGTGGAAGGAAGAAAATGAGAGAAATGTCTATCCCAGGGACTTAAAAGGTAAGACTGAGAGCAGTGCTGCCTTCACAACAAATGGGTAGCCTGTTTCTGCAGCCCTTGCTTCTCAGGTCTCAGAGCAGCCTCCCTGGACACGTCCCCAATGCTTTCCAGTGGTACCCTCCAGTTCATAATATTTATGGCTCTTGCTGTCCACTAAAGGAATTCATTGAACAGCAATGAACTATTATTAATGGGCTGGTAGGAAGCTCTTCCTTGGCTGATGAGATTGAAGTTTCTATGCCAAAAGAAATTTTCTTAGGTAGAAATTCTACTTCTTTGCCTGGTCCTTAGTGGTTTAATTTCCCCCCCAATCTTCAGCCTTTAGTTAAATCATCTTTTCATAGGGAAAAATATTCCCAGCAACCTAAGTATACAACTAACTTTCCATGAAAATAAACTCCATTTCTCCATTCCCCTGACCTCCCAGATTTGACACACTTGATATTTTCTAGAGTCTGCTAAAGTCAGAGGAGTTCCAAAAATACCTCACGCACCAATCTGCTTTTCAGACCTACTTGATATGATGCAGTTGAATTTTGACAGGCTAGCAGAAAGGAAATGACTTAAATCAGAAGCAGGCTTGGTTTAAAATTGTCTTGTCTGTCTGATTGTTTTCTTTTTTCCTAGATGGTTCCAGAAAAAATAAATCCAATTCTTTGTGAGTGTCTACTTTGGAAATTTGGTTTTTTTTTGTTTTTTTTTCCCCTTCTTTGTCATTCTCTGTGTGAATTCCAAGGGGCTGCTGAAGAAAATTTTCCGGGAGCAAAAGGAAGAGAAGAGTCAGTGAAAGACTCAGTTTGCTTTTACTAACGTAACTCTTTCTTACTTGTGGGTGAGCTATCAGTCAGCCAGCAATGGGATTATCGTTGAAAGCTCACCTAGCTCCTTGACCTCAGGAAAGTAAGTATCCGTTAGTTCTTAAATGAAGACCAGTTTGAAAAGTTCTTTTTAAGGATCCTGGTAATTATGCCAGAAATGACTTAGATAATTAGGTGGTTCGAGAGCAAACTTTTAAAATATAAAGTACTTTGGGGAGAAAAACAAGATTTTTAAAAAAGTGACATTCCAAGGAGAACAAAGATAACCCTTTAAAATGTGGGAAGAGGCTGAGTCAGACCCTGTCAGCAAGCTTCACTGAGGCCTGGGGACTTGTAGCAA